AGTACGCTCAATCTCCGGATCGTAGACTAGGTCTTCTTTCCGAGTAAAGCTCCTTGTCATGCACTAGAACCCTAAAATCGCAAAGAAAAAGAAGGACTCGAAACCAAGTGAATCCGCAAAAACTAAAGAAAGAAAAACAAAAAAGAAAAAGAAGACAAGCTAGGATCTAGAATCAATAAAGACCTAGAAATAGGCTAACCAGTCCCCGGCAACGGCGCCAAAAACTTGATACGTGTGTATCGAGTCTAAAATATATAACCCGATTCACAACTCACCGCAAGGATACGGATCGTCGTAACACGGGGTCGGACACGAGGACCGGTTGCTAAATCCAAATCTAGATCGAAAATAGATCAAAGCAAGCAAGCAAGTGATGGTGGAAATATGTAGAATCAATGGTAAGCAATATAAGAAAGTAAATAAAAACAAGTGACCTATCAAACAAGGATGACTACGGGTGTCGGGATCGTATTCGCGTGTATGGGTATTTACTAAGCATGCATGAATAACGATTATGACTTGTATTCGGGAATCATCAAGCAACAATGATAGAGAATTCACCTCTCGGTCTACTAACTCACTATCTACAGAGTAACTCGTCAATCTCTCGATCTATTCAAGTTAACCCTAGATGCATGAAGAACGCTATCATCAACCCTAGATCGATTAAACCATATCTCTATGTGAATAATACGATCTATCCTATTGATTTTGATCCGAAACAAACCCATATCTCTATGTGGTTCAGAATCCAAGATAATTGATCAAGGGGTTAGCAAACATCAATCCAATAAAAGTGCAAATCAATAGAACCGAATCAAATCAAAACCGAAATCCAAGTTAGGGTTCAAACATACCCAAAACACATACGAATCCCTAACCCATAGCCGTGGATCTACTCACGGTTCATAGAAGACAACAAAAAGCTCATAAAGAAAGAGGTAAAAGAGAGGAAAGAAAGTCTCATGTCGATGTTTAGTCTTCACGATCGAATCCTCCTTCTTCTTCCCGAAATCCCGTGAACTTCTATTCTTCTCTCACCAAAAGCTCTCCAAAAGTGTGTATCTAGGTGTTCTCTAAGGTCCTCCCTTGTTCTAGGACGTGGCTAGGGCTTTTTTATAACCCTAGGGTGGCTCCCAAGAGTTCTAATCCCATTCCAATGCTGAAAATCGCGAATTAGGGTTTCTGGTTGGATCCGGACCGATTCCAGGTGGATCCGGGCCGGATCCAGATTCCTGGAGGCAAATTCTGCGTCCTTGATCCGGACCGGATCCAGTTGGATCCGGCCCTGCGCGGGCAGTTTTCTGGCCTTCACGATTTCGCTCGTAACTTTTTGCTCCAGTGTCGGATTTACGCGATTTTGGTGTCTACGCGAAGCTCTTGAAGTGCTCTTTCCAATGGTATAAGTCTCGCACGATTTGAACCTCTGTAGAGAAAGTTATTGATGTTGCAACATGAGTATCTCATCCGGACTTCTCCTTTAACGCTCCAATTAGTTCCTTTTCGAGTTTAATCATCTCTGAAACCTGTAACTCTGCAAAACTAGAGCACAACCGGGTTTTGTATCCTAACACGCCTAGAATGCCTATGAATGCATGTGATTATCCTATAAAACCTAGACAAACTCTCATCAAAATATAGAGAAGAATAGGAGTTATCAATATTCCACTGGGTTGTGGCTCGGACTTGAAAGAGAATATTTCAATGAAGATCTAGAAGGAAACGACACTCGATTTGACTGGGAAACGAGGGAGTTATGAACAAACGAAAATTGAGTAGAACCTGAAATTTCAGAATTCACGAGTTATACGAGGTGCGGGAGCTTCGAATTGTGTTTCATCGTGTAAACGTGAGTTTTTAATAATCTATTGCTTGGACATGAAAGAGGACGTTCCAAGGAAGGTTTAGAAACAAATGGTGTGCGATTTGGTTAAGAAACGAGTGAGAACGAAGCAATCGAACATGGACTATGCATGTTAGTCGGAACGAACCGGAAACACAGACCCGAGGACTGAATATCCCAGACCGGACGGTCTGAGGGAGCAGAACGAACGGACCACGAACACGCAAAGAGATGGGCCGAGTCTGGGCCCAGACCGTCCGTTGTAGCACCAGAACGGACGGACTGATGAACAGAGCACGCAAGTGGCCAACTTGCTGTCTTGGGACGCGTATTTCTCTATG